CGGCAGCACCTCCAGCCCCTCCGCGGTCAGCCCCTCTCCTTCAGCCCCGACCCCCGCTCCAGCCTCAGCTCCAGCAGCAGGCCGTGATGATTACGCCAACATTCAGCTCTGCTCCCCCGACCAGGATTATCCAGCAGCCCGTCATCTACCAGAACGCGGCCACGAGTTTCCAAGGTAGCGGTTGGGGGGCTCAGGCTGTGGGTGTGCCTGGTGCCATCGCAATTTCGGGGTGCTCAGGCTGTGGGTGTGCCTGGTGCCATCGCAATTTCGGGGTGCTCAGGCTGTGGGTGTGCCTGGTGCCATCGCAATTTCGGGGTGCTCAGGCTGTGGGTGTGCCTGGTGCCCTCACAATTTCGGGCTGCTCAGGCTACAAGTGTACCTGGTGCCCTCACAATAAACAGTGCTGGTGTTCAGACTCCAAGAGCATCCTCAGCCACCACAAGTCTGACGATCCTTTTCTTGCTGCCTTTGGGGCATCCATTCTCCTGCCTACGTGGCTTTGGAGTTGGGGGAGCATGAGAAACTGTCGTGAATGACATCTTAAGTCTTCATGTGACCTATTGTAATAGTTGTCTTCTCGCTACTCTCCTCTGTTATGGCCTTCTCTCCTATGGCTCTTGGGAGGCTTCAGAAAAGTGTGTCTAAAAAAAATGTCAGTACTGCTGGGTACTGTAGACAGATCCAGTCCTGAAGCTCCAGTCTGTTCCATGTGGCAGTTTGGAATGAAGGCACATTTTAGCTACCAAAGTCTCTGCAAATACTTGCATTGAGCAGAGGCGCTGGTAGGGATGTTTAGTGGCAATCAAGTTTTCCTTTGTGTTTGTGAATTCCAGTTGTCTTGATCCTCTTCAGTAGGTGTTGATTCTTTACGTGATCAATAAGATCCTAGGGTCCGCCAAGATCTGCAGGAGTGGGCAAGTGCTGGTTGGATATAGTGTGTAATGTAATGTATCCTGTGCTATCAGACCAGACATTTTTGACTTGGTTTTCTCTTAGCTTGATCCTCTGTGCCTTCTGGAAAGCTGCTATCCTAGATGCAGTGTCCTCTTGCAGGAGACATCAAAGCAGCTGGAAGCTTCCCAGTGTGTGGGATGTGTTAGCTGAAGGCTACCTATCAAGAAGTTCTGGGAAGAGGAGTGAAGCTAGGAGCATCTATGAGCTCCAAAACAGAGACTTGTGTCTCTGGACTCTTCCTAACATCTCTTCTGCTTTTCAGTTCTCCAGCCTCAAGTCCAGAGCCTGGTGACGACCTCCCAGGTTCAGCCAGTTACCATCCAGCAGCAAGTGCAGACTGTGCAGGCCCAGCGAGTGCTAACGCAGGCTGCCAACGGCACCATCCAGACGTTAACACCAGCCACAGTCCAGACGGTCGCTGCACCGCAGGTCCAGCAAGTTCCAGTAAGTAAAAATGCAGAGCCATACAGGGATTCAGCAGAAGGAGAAATTGCTCTTGCTGGTCTGGTCTCCTGGCTTGCCAGGAGAAAGGTGGTAAAACTTGTGGGGCTGGTGGTCCTGGCTAGGGTTACTTTTGCACAAATGTTTTTAAGTGTAAGAGAGATTTCTAGCTAGCCTGCATTCCAGAAGCATTTTGCTTTGTGCAAGTCATGTATGAGAGTCCCTTTTGTGAGCTGTGATGTCACTTCAAGTAGTGAACAACATTCAGGAACAGTTTTCACCTGCATAACTAAACTTGGTCTAAAAAATTTTTGTAACTTCTTGCTGCCAAACTGAATTGGAAACCTTACCTGAACAAGCTTTCTTTGACTTTTCCCTATTTCTTTGCAAGTCTGCCACCTCTACCATGTCTTAAAAGGGCTGGCTGATACAGGAATGTTTTCTCCCAGTTCTTCTACCACAGTTTCTTTGATCTTTTGCTGCTACAGTGTCACATGATTTTTGTTTTAAAACATACATATGAGAGTGGAAGTCTTGTGTTTCTTTGTATTTGATAAAAACATGGCTAGGGGACCCTCTCAATATGATAAAGTTGCTCTGGTTCAGTTGTACTGTCCCATCAGTAGTGTTCTTTGAGAGTCAATGCGGTGTTTGAACAAGTAAGAGCAAGCTGTGTTATGGCAAAATAACTTACTGTTGATTTTAATCTGCCTGATGTTCATAGTACAGATCCTTTCAGTGAAATCAGAAGGGGAAGAAGCTGCTACAGTTATTTGGAAAGTGTTGTAGCTAAAGCAGGCTGTTCTAGCCGTGTTGGACTCTGAGTACTCAGCCAGTTACTGTAGAGAGCTAATTATATGTGTAATTGGAGAGGGGGCAGGAGCTTTTCCATCGGCTCTTTTGTGGTTTTGCATACTCATTTACTTTTGGTGACTGATTTGAAAACTGAAGTCCTGGTGGTTTCTCTGCTCCCCTCCCACCAATGCTGTTTAGACTATCTCATGGTGAGAGTTTGCATCAGGGGATGACCAAAACTATCCAGGTGATGCATGGCACAAGGTGAAAGAAATTCCAGCCCTGCTGTTTTGCCATCCACCGACATGTAAAGTTACAACTCTGTCATCGCTTAAGTCTGGCTGCTGAGATCAGCAGAGAAATATGTGCCTACTCTCCCCTTCACCTGTAACTTTTTTCGACCTAGGTTCTGGTCCAACCTCAGATCATAAAAACAGACTCCCTTGTCTTGACAACCCTGAAAACGGACGGTAATCCTGTTATGGCCGCAGTACAGAACCCAGCGCTGACAGCACTCACTGCTCCCATTCAGACCACAGCTCTGCAGGTACCGTATGGATGTTCTTCTTCCTTTCTCTCCTCGCTGATGTCCTTTCCTTTTAACTCAAGGAAGAGATTTGGGCTTTAGTATTTTGCAGTGGCGCAAATGGGAGGGGTTTTGAGGGCTGCTATAGACATGTCCAGAGTGAGTAATACCCTGTTTCTGCCAAGGCTAAACACACAGATTGTACTTTTTTGGCAGCCTACCATGGCCAGTAAGCAAAGACCAAGGGCATGTTTCTGTTTACCTTTTTCTAGTATTACAAGGAATATCACCTAAAAATTCCATCCAGTTTTTAGCCTCTGGAAGGTACTTGAAACTGAAAGCTAAATCACTTAGAATTCCTGTGGAGCATTATTTTCCCCCTTGGTAGTGTCTAATAGCAGTATTTTGAATGTCGAAACTAAATAAGCTGCTTTTCAGAGGGCATTTGCAGTGAGGATTCAGTATAATCATTGCAGATGGCAGCTGGACTTCATGGCCTCCACTTCTAATCAACTCTTGAGAAGCTTGTGTGCCCAAAGACACCTTTATTACAATCTTGTACATTCTGAACAGATATCTCTATTCAAATATTTACTGGGGCAGATAAACTTGCAAGTCTGGACTTAAGTTTTGACTTCTTTTGTGTAGCATGGTAGGCTTCTTGTGTACTTGTTAGCAGCCAGGCTAAAATCTTCAATTAACCTGCTTGCTTTTAGGTGGCATTTTCACACAGAGGTGAGGCTTATGTGGTTGTGTCTGTCTGAGACACAATCCTTAAAGCATTTTGAACGCATTGAAATTTGGTGGAAATTAGTGAAGGAAAAGTTCAGGACTTAAATTCACTTATTTGTCAAGTTCCAGCTTGAAATGAAACTAAATTAATTTCTGATATCCCAATTAGAAGACAATTTCAGAGTCAAAATTGTTCCTGAAGTTGCTCACAGCTAGTTTGTTCTCGTTTATGTTAGTCTGTCTTTTGACAGAAATAACTCTTCCTCTCCATAACCACTTCCCTCATCCTTGGTGTACTTTAGAGAACACCTTCTCGATCTTGTTTTTCTGGGTTAAGCAGTCTGAGCTTTCTTTACTCCAACTGTCCTAGAAGCTTCTCTGTACAACTGTTCTGGTGGGATTCATTGCCTTTTATCTTGGAGTACCTCCTGCTTTAGTTTGGTATAGATGGTCTGGCCTACATCTAGATGTCCAAGTTTGAGCTTTCCATGCCAGTGTATATCACACATTGCTGTAGTTCCCCATCTTAAGGCATTTTTATTGCTTATGGATCTATTTTTTCCATTTAATCCAATTCAAATCAACTGCCCTGATCAAGCCAAGGATTGTGTTTCCATAATCAAGTCCTTTCTAACATTGCCATTACCAGTTTGGGAGTAGCATTGTCTGTTGCTGATTTGATGACTTTATTTGCCTGTGGAAAAGGTGGATTTGGGCACTTGAGATGTAAGGACTGTAGGAGCAAGAAGGAGCCTTGGTCTGTTTCTCTGTTCTGTGGATGAACAGAACATGGTACTGGTAGGGAAGAGTGTTGATGTTCTTGGAGAACAAGAGATGTTCTTACTCCACAGTGACAGTGTGGGAGGCAGAGTGGCAGATTTTTCCTGTGCTGCTGTGCCAATGCTTGTGCCAGCTAAGGAAGACGGGAGGAAATTGGCCTGTCTCTTGTTTTCTGAGCTGTACAAACTTTTCCCAATTCTTCTTTTGTTTACTCCTTTTTCTTTTACCATTATAAACCTTATCTAAATTGGCTGATTGCTTGTGACACTCGTTACACATCGTCTTCGTAGACCCTCGTTGGGAGCAATGGGACCATTTTGACCACAATGCCAGTGATGGTGGGACAAGAAAAGGTGCCTATCAAACAAGTTCCTGGGGGTGTCAAGCAACCAGAACCACCTAAAGAAGGAGAGAGGAGAACAACTCACAACATCATTGAAAAGCGTTACCGGTCATCTATAAATGACAAGATCATTGAGCTGAAGGACCTTGTCATGGGGACAGATGCCAAGGTAAAGATATGGAATAAGAGCAAATCTAATGTCATAAATACTTTGTCTTCAGGTGCTTGTTGCTCTACCAAATGAAGCAGTTGGATGCATTTGACTGTTAGTAGTATGCACACATGTACTGGGATAAGACTGGTGAGAAACACTTGTGCGATGGAAAGCTTGATAATTTTGTTTAGGAAGGATCACCTGTAAAATTATTATTTCACTGTACTAGTGATACTGTTTCTTGAAAATAAACTATACCTTCTATATTTGTTCTTATGTTATGTCTAACTTAAATAGGCCATCTAGATAGAATATCCAAGTGGGTGTTTTGCTAACTCTGCCAAACCAGAGCTTGCTTAATTTGAGTTTCCTTTTCCGTGTGACTGCAGTAGGGATGGGGGTTCACAGAGCTTTCTGGTTTGTTTTCTTTACATAATGAGTTGTAAAAACTCTCGCTTGCTCAGATATTAGAAGCTTTCTCGCATCATGTATTCAGGGTTGTCCTATTCACTTTGCCTCACACTGGCAGAGCAAGAAGTCATATTCTTGATATCTTGCATGGTCTCCATACAAATAATGTGTGCTAGTAAAGTCACCTTCTGTTGCTGAGTGGAAGCTTACATTTTAAAAACATTGGTAATATATAGGCTCTTCATTGTACTTTGGGCTTGTGTTTACAAGCTAAACTTGTCCACTGCTGCTGGAAGCAAGTATTTTCATGGGGATGGCCAAGGGAGTGAGGGAAGGAGAGAACCACTTATCTTGGAATTAAACAGTGAACAATGATTGACAGCAGCTTGTTCCATTTCATTTCAAAACTGTGGTATTTTCAAAGGACTGTTTCTGGCTGAAACCTGAATGCGCACTCTATTGTAATTTGGCTGTTAATCTGTTTCCATCATACTGTTTTTATAAAGTCTTTGAGAGACCCCAGTCCTTGTGTGTCTTTCAGAGTCTAATACCTTGCCTACAGAGTGTGCCTTGCTATTAATTTCTTTGCAGCTGCCGAGTGGTTCCTTTTCTTTCTGTCACATGTACCAAGGGTTGCGATATCCCTACAAGCAGGAGTGACCCTTCGATGCTCTCCATATAACCTACTTTATGTACATCTTAATTCCTTGCAGATGCACAAGTCTGGAGTCCTGCGAAAAGCCATTGATTACATTAAATACCTACAGCAGGCCAACCATAAGCTGAGGCAGGAGAACATGGTTCTGAAGCTGGCAAACCAAAAGAACAGTAAGTTGTGGAGGCTGTGCAGGGGGGAGGCAGTCAGCAGTGAACGTAGGATGCTTCTTGCAGTTTCTTATCCTTGACAGAGGTAGATACATGCACGTTGCATCCATAGTGGCCAGTGTTACTCCAGGTGACAGAGCCAATCTGAGCGAGACTGGTAGGATGGAGGATCAAGAAATGCGTACGTAATGCACTCTGATTTTTGCAGAGCTGTTGAAGGGCATTGACCTCAGCAGTCTGGTTGACAATGATGTGGATCTGAAGATAGATGACTTCAACCAGAATGTGCTGCTGATGTCTCCTCCAGCCTCTGACTCGGGATCCCAGGCTGGCTTCTCTCCCTATTCCATTGACTCGGAGCCAGGAAGCCCGCTCCTTGATGATGCAAAGGTATTTGCAACTTCAGTTGTCAAATTCAAGGCATCTGCTTCAGTGATACATAAGGGACAGAATTTAAATTCTCCTAATTCTCAGGAGAGGAACCAGCAGACATCTGGCAAGCAGATCTGTAGGGGTCAGAGATCCTTTGCAAGGATGAGGAAGGTGCATGAGTGTGTTTTATCTTTTCTTAAATGATTGAGACTACTTCCTGAGCTGTATTATCTGAGCCATACCTTAGCTGCTAGAAGAACTGTACTTAGCCTTCAGCCCCTGTAGAGTCTCTGTGGACTTAAAATGCATGTTCATGACCCAGAGAGACCATGGCTTTCTAGGGATATACATGTCCAGTGACTAAAGCAGGAGAACTTGGAAATGGGTGGTGACGTCAGCTGTGGTTAATGAGACCGTAAGTAACCAGAGTAACAGAAAGCTGTTAGCTGTCTTCGACTGAGAGGTTTGTTTTGTGCATATCACAGAAGAAGTGGGTCTTCTGGGAGATCCTCAAAAGAGTAAGGGCAGCAAAAGTTGATTCTAGCCCAAACCAGGGATCCAGTTAATGATGACTGAAATGACTGGGAGCAGAAGGAAGGTGAAGGCACTCACATACTTCAGCCTTATCTTACTAAGATAGGGAAAGCTTCACCAGAGTTCTTACCGATGGTGATCTTAAAAGCAAGTTTTAAAACACATTCTGTTTCTCCTTTGTCCCTACCCCTCCATTGGCATAAGCATTTTTTGGTCTACAGAATGGTAACCAGTCTTTTTTTCTCCTCTTTTCTCTCCACTCCTATTCCTTTGAAGGTTAAAGATGAGCCTGACTCTCCTCCTGTGGCCCTTGGTATGGTGGATCGCTCTCGAATACTCCTCTGCGCTCTCACATTCCTTTGCCTTTCCTTCAATCCTCTGACATCCCTCCTGGATGCCCGAGGAACCCCCGAGTCCGACAGCCTGGTGCGCCACGGCTCTGGCAGGAACGTGCTGACTGTTGAGTCAGGTAACAAACTAGAATACAGAACAGAGAAATACAGAATATAGAACACAGAAAGTGGCCAGGCTTACATGGTGTCCCTAAAGACCGTCTCCAACTGTGACAGCTGCAGGTCACAGCGTGGACTGTTGGTGTGATTCAGGATGGTTTTGTGTGTTCAGGAAGTTGTACAACCTTTGTTTAATGGTTGGGGAGGGGTAGTAACTGCAGGGCTGGGTGTGGGAGAAGAGCCAGACGAGAGTGCTTGGACATGGCTCCAGTTCATATCCACATCCAGTGCTCTTGAGCAAAACCAGCCTTAGCTCAGTGTGGAGAGGTAGAGGGGGCACCTGCTTGTAGCTCAGCAGCCTAGGCTCTTGGGATAGACCCATGAAAAGTAGTTCAGAGTAAGGGGCCCTCCTGTCCTCACTGACCTTTGAAGCATGTTCACTTTATATTTGTTTTTAAGGTAACCATTGTGGATTTTTGGTTTGTTTGGTTGGTTTTTAATTTATTGATGAAGTAGTAGGTGAATAATTACTTCAGAAACACAGTTGCTTGTAGGGTCTTGCAACTGGTTTGTTCAATATGCTTATTCCATAATATTAATAGTTTGGAGTACGATAGCTTAGGGGCAAGCAGGGGATTCTGCAGACATGCTGTCCTTTCCCTGACTGGTAAATATGCTTCCTCGGTGTTGCTTTGTAAACTTTTAATTAAGACCGGAAAAATGACACTGAGGTATTGAATACCCATGGGTGTATCCCATAGTTTTCCTAGAGTGCTTTGTATTCTGATTTTTCCAAGAGCTGATTCAGTTTTTATACATCAGTCTTGTAAAAATAACTATTTTTATTTGGTTGGGAATGTTGTGGCTTGGAGTTCAGATGAAGAGCTGTTGATACAGGTGTTTCCTGATTAAAATGCAGTCTTTGCAAAAGTTGTTACCACATGTGGCAAGCATAGCAAGACATTCTTCTGGGTCTGTGCTCATCCTGTTGCTAGGCTTTCGGAGTCCAGATTAATTTTTAACTTTCCTTCTGGGACGCCCATTGCAGATGCAGGTGGTTGGTTCGGCTGGATGATGCCCACACTGATCCTGTGGCTCGTGAATGGAGTGATTGTGCTGAGCGTGTTCATAAAGCTCCTTGTGCATGGAGAGCCGGTGACCCGGCTGCACTCAAGATCATCAGTCACATTCTGGAGGCATCGCAAGCAAGCAGACCTGGACTTGGCACGGGTAAAGTTGACTTGTTTTGCATCAAACGCATCTTCTAGGACGGGGTGTGGGTAAATGTGGCCTGGTGAGACAGTGGCCTGGCACTTGCAAGAGCATAGTATTATTCCTCAAGTGGATTATCCTGGCTGATTTCAGAGAAGCTGGTGCTAGGTTGTCTCGAGCAGATTGCCATCCTCCCTCAGTCTAAATTAGTGAGGCACAGACGTCAGCCTTGGAAGTGGCTCCTAGCTTCTGTCCTTGTTCCTTGCTACTGCATCTTGTAGCAATCTTTGGCAGCAAGGTCTTGGTTTTTGTCTGGAATCTGGCCTCTGCTCTGGCTGCTTATCTGCTGTCCTCCAGCCTCTTGGAAGTTGTCTTCATTGTTGAGGCAACATTTGGCTTTTGATATGAGGACCCTGAAACTTCCATGTTGTTTGAGAAGGCAGGAAGTTCCTTTCACCTAGTACTGACATGTCTCACAGACAGTGCAGGATCAGAGCCACATGTGGAAAGATACGTGTAGGGCCAAATTTGAAGCTGGCATAGATTGCCTTCTTGTTTACTGAGACTATGTTGACTTCCCTCAGTCAAAGATCTTCTCCTAGCTCGCACATCAGTTTGTCTTGTTCCCAATGCCAAGGAGGTCCCAAAGTCTCTCTGTGATGGTGCTTTTTGTTGTTGAACCTCTTGTGTTATTTGCAGGGGGATTTTGCTGCAGCTGCGTCAAACCTGCAGACTTGCTTGTCGGTACTCGGCCGAGCACTGCCGGCTTCCCGCCTGGACTTGGCCTGCAGCCTGTCCTGGAACGTGATCCGCTACAGCCTGCAGAAGCTGGCGCTGGTGCGGTGGCTGCTGAAGAGGACTTCTCATCAGTGGAGGGCGAGGGAGGCCACTGCAGGCTTTGAGGACGAGGCCAAGACCAGCGCTCGGGATGCGGCTCTAGCATATCACAAGCTCCATCAGCTCCACATAACGGGTAGGAGCAGAAGAGGCAGATCTACTGTCCTAGTTTTGCCAAATGAGGAGGCTCAGAGCTGGTCGTGGGGATACTGGGAGAGTGCTATGGTCTCCCTCCTCTGGGAGAGCTGCTGTTGGAAATCAGCCTGACAAATTTCAGGAGCCACTTAGTAAAACACAACAGGTTCATGCAATGAAAGGGCTCTGTAAGAACAGCCGACGCAACAGCAGTGTCTCAAGTTACAGGCTCTTGTGTCTGCAGAGGTGACTGAGAGTTTTTCCCAAGCAGCAACTGATTGAGTCTGGTCACTTTTGCTGCTGTTAAGGGCATCTTTCATTCCTGTCGCTTGGGAACGTGATGTGGAAGCAGGGGCTGGGGTTAATTGCTGGGAGAATTTAAGTTTCCGAAGCTGTGTAAAGTGCAGATTACCAATTGGTGTTGATGTTCTTTGAAAACCTGGGTGTGTGCACATTTACTAAGGAAGTGCTTGAATGTTCCTTGTGAACGGTTGTTGTCGCCGTTTCCTTGGCAAACCAATTTGCAATGTTAATTGGCTATGAGCACATCAGAAGTCCAAGCTAAACTTCCTCCTGCCTAATCATGCTGTGTGAATTGCAACCGTGCCACCAGGGATGTGTACTTGACCTTAATATTCTCTATCTGTGTAGGTACAGAGTTCCATTGTAAGGTAGTGATGAATATACCAAGACAAAATTTGCTGATTATTTTATCCGAACTGGTTTAGCTGTACAGGGCTTTCTCTCAAAAGCAAAGCTGTAGATGCCAGCACTGGTATGTGTGGAGGGAAGACTTGGTTACAGTTGCTCTGTTGCCTGAATACAAAGTAGCGTACAATGTTGTAAACTTCCCATGTGAATAAGTTCTTGTCTCTTTCTGATAGTAGCCCTGCAAATCACAGTATTGTTTAGTAGCTGGTACTACCGCACTAAAAGTTAACACTTTTCCTTTCCTTCCTGGTGCAGGTAAACTTCCCTCCAGCTCAGCTTACTCAGGTTTGCACATGGCCCTGTGTGCTGTGAATCTGGCAGAGTGTGCAGAAGAAAAGATCCCAGCCAGCACAATGGCAGAAATCCACCTGACGGCTGCGGTTGGCTTGAAAACTCGCTGTGGAGGCAAGCTTGGCTTCCTGGCGGTGAGTTGTCATCTCCTCTCCCATCACACCTCCCAGCAGAGCTCTAGGATCTGCTAGCACTACAGATACAGTATGACCTGCAATTGATACAAGCTGTAATTATGATATGACCTTTGTCCTCAGTAGTGTGTCTCCTTGGGTACTGTTCTCAGTCTTTGCCTCTCCTTTCCCTAGAGCTACTTTCTAAGCCAAGCTCAAAGCCTGTGCAGCTCAGAGCGGAGCGCCATTCCTGACTCATTGCGTTGGCTGTGCCATCCCCTGGGACAGAAGTTTTTTGTGGAGCGAAGCTGGACAGTGAAGTCTGCTGCAAAGGAGAGTCTGTACTGCACACAAAGGAATCCTGGTGAGAGCTGTTTGTGTCCTGAGTGCCTCCCAGCACTTTGAGCCTGGCAGATCTGTCTGCCTCTGGGACAAAAGCAGGTGTCATCTTTGGGAGCATGCTCTTGTATATCTGCCCTGCTTGTGGTCTTGATGGGCAAGAGAGGCTGTGGAGCTGAGAGATGTCTCCTCAGCCAGCAGGAGGTGGCTCTCCTCCCTTTGTATACTGTGCTGTGTCACCCCACTTGTGTCTTTATATGCTGGAACACAACCTGGTTGTGGCCTTGCATGTCTAGGGGGTGACTTTGGGGTTACCAAGATTTATCTTCCACAGAGCAGTGTCATCACTGTTTTGCTGAGTGGCTGAAGTGGCACAGGGATGTTTGGCCAAGAGCTGCAGCTTTTAACTGCTAATAAATAAGAGTAATGGCTAATGAGTAAGAATGGTAGTTAAAAAGGCCCTGAAACTTTAGAAATTTTTACATTAATTCCTCAAGAATCTCCCTCTACTGCTCTTTCTCTTGTTCCTACGTTTTGCCGCTTCTTTTTGGTTGCATTGGGAGGTGGCTATCACTGTATGCAAATGAGATGGTTTGGGTTTTTTAATTCCTGTCTAGCGGATCCCATTGCACAAGTTCATCAGGCATTTTGTGAGAACCTGCTAGAGCGAGCAGTGGATTCACTTGTGAAACCTCAGACTAGGAAGGAGATAGCGGGACAAGAGGAGGAGGAGCCATGGTAAGTTTGTGTGCTGTGCTGGGTACTGCTGGCTGCAGCTGCAGGCTCTGATGCAGAGCTCATAACCATTGACCAAGCACCCTGTGGCAAACTGAGTGGTTAGTTCTTATTAAAGACTTCAAATGACAATGTTAAGTCTGACCTGCCACAGCTTATGATGACTCTACCTCTTCATGTGAAAACCTCTAAAGTCAAAGGTGACAGTGGGTGTGATAAGGGTTTTTGGTGTCAGCTGGCATAGTGCTGGTTGATTCCTGAACTGGATGGATGGCACTTTCTCTGCTGACAAGGGTTAATGTTCAGGAACACTAAAATTAATGCGTACCTTTCACTAATATAGACCAAAACATATGTCCAGGTCTCTCAGAACATGAATATTTGGCATGTCAGAGTAGCCCTAGCAGCTCACTATGTTATGCACGAGGGTATTCTCCTGACTCAACAAAGTGCCACACTTACCAGCAGTGAAAAATCAAACCAACGCCTGGCAAGAGCGTGAGAGGCTAATATGGCTGAAATTGTCCTTGGCCTCTGCAGGCTCTGTGACCAAATGAAAGGGGCCAATAGGTGGGAATCAGAGCAGCTCTTTCCTGGTCTTGGCGGGAAGCGGAGGCCCAGCCTTTTCCAGCAATTCTGCACTGTTTCTAGCTGGTCTCCAGATTTGCTGGTGCCAGGCAAACACTATGTAAATATATGGGAAGCTCTGTAAGGATCCTGTCCCCAGAAAGCATAGGTGAAAGCCTCAGATGGGTAGGTAACGTGGTTTCCCTGCCTGGGTAGGGAAGATATTGCATATGTAGCTTTTTTTTTTTTTTTTTAATCTTACATTTGTTTTCAAGCATCATTGCAGAGAATGAGCAGCAGTTCAGTCTAATTGCTTGCACAGTGCAAATGCTTGTGATCACATGTTGCTGTTTGATGATGAGAGAAGGCAGGAAGATTTGTATAAGTGAGGTGGCTTGCCAGTATACTTCCTGGAGTCCTGTCTCATGGGAAGGACTGGCTTTAGTAATACAGCAAGGAGTAGGAGCTCAAGAAGTGGGTATTACTCCACCCAGGAGTAGGAGCTCGAGATCTTCCTCTGTAGCATGTCCCAGGAAATTAGATCATTGCCACATGTGCTGCTTTCTCTGACGAATGCTTTGAACGTGTTGTCACTTGCATTCATACGTATTTGCATACATGCAAATAGTCACTCACAGAAGTGTAGGTCAGCCTCTTTTGGAGGCAGTGATTGAAAAGGAGCCTGTAATCAACTTGTAACGTATGCCATGTCCATCACCTCTGTAGTTGAGGTGAGACTGCCGGGATTGACTCTAGTTCTGTGCTGGTCTTTGTGCATGGGGAGATGTGAGGCTGCCCCTCTGTAAGCATCTCTCTGTGCACTTCCCCTTTCAGGGAGGTCTCCTTCAGACCCCAGTGTTGTGTTACTTGTAGAATGTGAAGGTTCTGCTGGCTTAATAAGTCAACAGCGTTTAAAAATGCCTTGTGACTGATGAGAAATGCCTTCAGGCTTTGAGATCTCCTGTTTGACAGCATAATGAAAGTATGTCTTGCTTCTTGTTTCAGCGAGTTCTCCGGTGCCATAGAGTACCTGAAACTGCTCAACTCTTTCTTGGACTCAATGGGAAGTGGAGCCCCACCCTTTGCCAGCAGTTCTGTACTCAGGTCCACCCTGGGTAAGTCTGGCAGAACCAAAGCTCTCCCAGCTGCAGCAACTACTGCTGATACATCTCCCCACTCTCCCTGCTGCCTCTCAAACTCCAGGCAAGGAGATAATGCAGTCCTTATAGAGAGACCTGATTGCTGCGCAGCAGCACACCGCAATGTGGTACAGCAGCTCAGACTAGAAGAGGGTAGTTGGGAAGGCTCGTAAATCTGGCTGTGTGCTGTAATGCTGGGTGTCCAGGTGAGACTGCAGTTATTTGTATTGCTGGGCACATTCCAAGCTGAACCCTGTGCCCTTACCTGAGAGCTTGCTCCTGGCAATGCAAAGTGAGAGGAGGTGTAGTGCATAAACCAGCATAGCAGTGTTGCAGTTGAGGTACAGGAAGGTTTTTTTTACCACTTCATTACCTGTTGGACCAAATACAGGTTGACCTCACTTTCACTGTCATGTTTAATTCCTCAATCTCCAGAGACCTGCAGCCTCTGCTGTAGACAAGCTCTAGACATCTATTGGGAGGTGCTTGGTTTGGTCCCTTGGTGTATATTTAGTGGGACAAGAGCTGTAGACTACCTCTGAGCTGTGCACTCATCTGGTCTTGGCTGTTAGCAGGCTGCTGGAGTGTTCTTCTTACTTGGTGATGGTACAGATGGCTCCTGGTAGCTCACTGGGATGCTGCTGGAGCTTTCGACACAGACTCACTGTGCTGTACCTAAAACGTGTAGAGCAAACATATTCTTACTTGGTGATGGTACAGATGGCTCCTGGCAGCTCACTGGGATGCTGCTGGAGCTTTCGAAACAGACTCACTGTGCTGTACCTAAAACATGTAGAGCAAACATAGAAGGAAAACTAGATACTTCTTTTTCAAGGGA